GAATCACATCACATGGGTGGAAAAGGGAAGAAAAACCTGAGCAGTGTGGACTTCCTAATCAGAAATGAAAAACTCGGTAACCCCAGTGTGAAAAAATGGTTAGCAGTGATGTGAAACCTTAAAAATACAGGAGCACTAAGTACATTCCTAGCAGAATTATTTATAAAATCCAGAACTTGGAAACAAACTGGATGTCTCTCAACCAAAGAATGGACAAACTAAATGTGGCAAATTTACAAGATGGAATACTACTCAGCTGTCAGAAATAATGAAGTTAAATGGACAGAACTAGAAAAACACATCCTGAGTGTGGTAACCCATACCATGAAAGACAAAAACAGTATGTACTTAGTCATAAGTGGATACCAGACATAAAGCAAAAGATACACAGTCTACAATCCACAACCCCAGAGAAGTTAGAACCCTCTTCCAGAACCAGATGAAAGTAGATGCAGAAACCCCCACCAAACACTGGGCTGAGCTCCTGGAGTACAATCAAAGTAAGGGTGGACCCATATTACAAACAGAGGAGTCAAGACCATGGTGGGGAAATCTACAGAATCAGCAGACCCAAGCTAGTGAGAGATTACTGACTTTGGTCTGACAAATGGAAAACCTGTATGGGATCTATCTAGACTCCCTTAATATAGGTGATAATGGTCCAGCTGGGACAATATATGAGGCTACAGGAGTGGGTTCAAGATCTAACTCTAATGCAATGACGTCAGGGAACCCATTAGATATGGAGAGGTACCTTGCGTGGTCTAGACACAGACATATGGGTGGTGGGGAGGTGCCAAGGTCCTGCCTCAACAAGATGATGGGACAAAATTATTAGAATTCCAATGGGAGTCTTTACCCACTCTAGGAGAAGATGGGAGATGGGGGGCAGTGGAGGACCATGATGTTAAGAGAGAGGGGGAACTGGGGTTGGAATGTAAAAAATAAAGTAATTAAGAATAAAAATATAGAATGTTAAGAAATAAACGCATTAAGAAACTCAAAAAAATCAAGAAAATAATTTGGTGAGAGGTTGGGCTAGGGAGTGGAGGTGGGGTCATGCCAAGATGTGTTTCCTGTGATTCCTGCAGTCCCCATGCTCTCTCTTCCAGACTCACACTGTAGGAAGTCAGAGGCAATGATGGCCATGTTGTAATAAGTAAACGTAGTGGTATTCAATTCCTCATATATAAAGACAAGGCTAACTCCCCACATGCAAATGCATCTTCTAGCTCTAAGTTAAATCCCCTCCTGAGCTGTGGGAGCTCACATCTCTCTA